TCTCATCTAGTTTTTGCATGAGAATGAGAGAAAGATTACAGCATTTTTATGGTTTATTTACACATAGATTGGTAAGTCTTGCAGTAAAATACTGTATGTATGTTGTTGTTTTGTTTATGTCTTGCTTCATAATGACGACAAAATCAATGATTCTGTTCATCGACCTGAAGTTTGCATGTCTGTAACTCAAAAAGCATCAAAGATATCTAAATATCTATTGTTTTTTTTTTGTTTTTTGTTTTTGTTCTTAAACTTTCCCGTTTATTTTAAATTACATAAAGTGCTATATGATACATTTCCAGAGATATTGGGACTTTATTGTTTGTTATTGTAAATTGAATTCTGACCCATCTTCAGTTCTCTGTTTAAAGAAGAATATCTGAGCAGCATTGTAATTGAAAATGTCTTGTATGCAAATCAGATGCATATGACACCTTTCTGTATTTCTATATTTTCCCACAGTTTGCATATGTCAGACTTAAGAAGCATTAAATAAGATAACTTAATAAGTTAATAATTTTTTTCTAATTATATTTTTTAGACATTATTCAGTTGCCGGGCTACTGGGATCTCAGTGTGGTAACATTGCATAGTGAATTTAAAGTTTTGGTAGCTTCAGAAGCTGTTAAAAGGATCCCTTCTTTCAAATGTCCCAAATCTTATTAACAGCATATTGAGAGCAAGTTATTGTGCCTGAACATGACAATTTTGCCATTTTTCTGGCACTCAGACAGGTTTGCAGTAATTACAGTAATAAAAATACTAATGTCTGAGGTCAAGAGCACTCTGAAGCAGGTTTTCATTCAGAATGTCTCTGTGCATTGCTGCATTCATCTTTCCCTCTATCCTGACTAGTCTTCCAGTTCCTGCTGCTGAATAACATCCCCACAGCAGGATGCTGCCACCACCATGCTTCACTGTAGGGATGGTAATAGCCTTGGTGAAGAGCGGTGCCTGGTTTATTCCAAATGTAACACCTAGCATTCACTCCAAAGAGTTAAATTTTAGCCTCATCAGACCAGAGAATTTAGTTTCTTATGGTCTGAGAGTCCTTCAGATGCCTTTTGACAAATTCCAGGAGGGGAGTAGTTTCCGTCTGGCCACTCTACCATACAGGCTTGATTGGTGGATTGCTGCACAGAGAGTTGTCCTTCTGTAAGTTTCTCCTCTCTCCACAGAAGAACGCTGGAGCTCAGACAGAGTAACCATTAGGTTATTGATCACCTCTCTGACCCTTCTCTCCCGATCACTCCGCTTAGATGGCCGGCCAGCTCTAGGAAGAGTCCTGGTGGTTCCAAACATCTTCCACTTATTAGAACTTTCAGAGCAGAATAATTTTTTCTGTAACCTTCCCCAGCCTTGCACCTCGAGACAATCCTGTCAGAGCAGCTAATTAAGCATTAATCAAGGCATGCTTAGTTGATTAAGGACCAGATGGATTACCAGAAACCTAGAGACCAACAAAAAGCTTCAGTGCAGCCAAGCAGGACATTTCTCTGAACTGAAGAGTTCACCTGTGAACTAGTATGTTACTGAGATCAATGCAGCTATTACATGCCTGAACTGTTCTCAGCTCTGTGTGTCTTTAATAACTGCTGCTGCTGCTTTCAGTATAAATGGATTAACTGTGTGTTCGCTTGTCCTATTTGAAGAAGACACAGGACAGAAGGAAGTACGGTGAAAATAGATGCCAGAGCCTGATTTAGTTCAGCACAACTGTTCAGTGTAAATGAGTGTTCACACCGACAGATATTTGCAGTGACAACATGAGCACATGTCCTCTTTCTTTTTAGCAAGACACTGCAGACAAAAAACATTTTTACATGCACATGTCAGTTGTTAGATTTAGGTTTTTTTTTTCCTTTTTGTAGTGGGTTTTTTCAGTCTGAAATAAAGAAAATGTCCACAATACACTTAAAGGTGCTATATACTGCATTGGTTTAATAAGTTAAATTGTTCTCTGATGTCTATGTAGTAGGTTTATGGCTTCGGTAAGTTAAAAAAATCTCCAGAAATAGTTTTATAAGCTAGTTTATTGCTCCATACCCATAGAATCAGAAGGCCCATGATTGACCATATATGGTTTGTGTCGTGAATATTAAGGTCCGCTCTGATACGCAGTTCTTACCGACACACACACAGCATGATGTACGCTGAACACGGACAAGTACAACCCCAATCAGAGTAATGTTAACCTAATTTGCTCTCCAGATCTGTTGTGGACAATGGCTAAATTATTATTATTACACTTCACAAAAGAGATTGATTGACGTGTATCGCAATGTATTTTGAAGCGAAAGTCAAAGAAAACCGCTAGAAATTAATATCAGCTTCTGCATGAACAGATGGCAGTTGAGCTGACAGCAGCATTCTGCAGTCTTCATGTGTTTGATAAAATGTATACATCAAATTTTACAATAAACATGAAAGATTTCTGAAATAATATTCAGCCTGAGGTGTGCATGTTAACGATTTCAGAGCTTTTTTGTGATCTCAGAGCTGCATACGAGTCGTGTTCTCTTGATGTGAAGAGCTGCTCGTCAGGTCCGGATGAATGACCTAAAGTAGGCATACATGCAAATGCGGAGGGCATGGCACTTAAGTCTCATCAAAGTTTGTTTCGTTCACTGTTTTACACTCGTGGAATTTACATGAGAATGAGGAAACAGTGGTGCCTGCCTGAGGCTCACAGTATGCTCCTTTTTAAGTACTGACCTTTTATTATTGTACTATGCCTTGGTATACCCCGTTTTTCATTATAGGGCACCTTTAGGTTCAGATTTTTTTGCTCTACCTCAGTTTTTTATACTGTACTATTCTCTGAGCTCCACTTAATGTTGTCAAGATTTGTACATGAAAAACTTCATAGTTTAGAAGTAATTTACTATTTACTGTGCTGTTTTTGACCCCCTCATCAGAATGCTTTTGATTGAGCGTGGCCGACTCTAGACTCAGAAGTAAATGCCCACTGCTCTGATTGGCAGATGGTTTTTGCATATTAGCAGGGCTAAACATGTAGTGAAGTAAAAGTAGACATCCACAGAGGCAGAGCTTATCCACACTATTACATCATAGATTACGACATTCCACAACCTGTCGTTTTGACAGACTGCCTTCAATATAAGCTGTTTTTAGAGGAACTACAAAGTTTTGAGTTTGAAAACTAACAGCATGCTTTTATAGTATATATATATATATATATATATATATATATATATATATATATATATTGCTTATAAATGGGCTCTGAAAAAAATGAATTTTGAGATAGAGGCCATTACTTGAGAAATCAAAATTCTTCTGATCTTTTGACATATAAGAGCTCATGATACTATAAAAGCATGCTGTTAGTTTTCAAACATTCAAATATATATATGCAATTTTTTATTTTATTTTTTCTACAGAACACGCCATCCTTATACATTGATTTGCCTAATTACCACTTGCCTAATTACCCGAGTTACACCCTTAACCCTTATGTACTGTTGGGGATGTTTTCATCCACTCTGGGGGGATTAAGACTGGGGAGTCTTAATTTGGCTCTAATGTTTTCTGTTTCAGCTAGCAGATTGATTTTTGGTGACAAATCTTATTTTGACATATTTTGAGAAAATGCTGTGAATTATTAAAAAAAACTCATCAAGACACTGAGCAAATTTACTACCCTTTTTTATGTTTGGGATGAAAACATCCACTAAATTGAACAGCTGTAAAAAATGCATCAGATCAATATTTTTTTTTTATTATTTGGAAATCTGTTAATCAACCTCAGTCCTGATCAAAACTACTAAACTGCTTAGAAAATACAGGATTTTAATTGCCAAATTCATAAATGATGTCACTGATTTGGGGAATAAAAAAACACACAAAATGGCGTAATATTAATATAAAAAGTAATTGTTGAGTGGATTTTTTTTACTTTTATCAAAGTCTTGGTCATGTGAAAAAACATTGCCTTTGATGCATTGATTTTGATTGATTTAAATTTTTTCTCCCCAATTTACTGTTGGTGGCTGGTTTAGCCCCATTGGCTTCCATTATAACCACATTTCTTTATTACAAAACCATAACACCATATAATCATGCATTTTTGATTGTTGGTGGTTTTCCCTGTTAGGAACAGGTCAAATTTGTTATTTTTAATGTTGATCATCAGTTAGCACCATTAACCCTTTAGACAGGCCTGTGCAAAGAAAAAACCTAGTTTCTGGATTTTATATTTAGTATAACAGCAAATTAAAGTGTGTGTCTGTGAGAGTGTGAGTGACCTTTATGCACTTTCCTTGATGTATCTGAGAAAATCAAAATCTGCCTCTCAGCTCTCAACTACATGGAGTAAACAGAAACAAATACTGTGTATTTATATATTAAATGTAGGTATAATGGAAGTCAAATGGGCAAAAACAGCCACAAACATTAAATTAGGGAGAAAAAATTAAAATCTAACAATGTATCAAAGGCAATGTTGTTACTAATCATTCACATGTCCAAGACTGTGATAAAAGGTTTTTAAAAAATCCCGTTCAACTACTTTTTATATTGAAAATATAATAATTATTCAAACAGTTAATATTTTAATAATTCTGACTTTATACAACTATATACATTGAAGGTTTTTACTGGGAAACATGTTCATATATAATTTGCCTGATCATACATATTTTATTCTACACAAATGTGCAGAAAAATAAAATATTGTTTGGCTATAGCATTATTTTCTGAATTAAGGGTGATAAGAAAACTCCCAAATTACCCTCTTTAATAATCTTTGACTCTAACGTGTTTAAAAATTATGGAATTTATTAAGTATGGTGATTTTTTTTTTTTTACCCTGTTTACCTGGAAAATTATTGATGGTTCTCTCTCTCTCTCTCTCTCTCTCTCTCTCTCTCTCTCTCTCTCTCTCTCTCTCTCTCTCTCTCTCTCTCTCTCTCTCTCTCTCTCTCTCTCTCTCTCTCTCTCTCTCTCTCTCTCTCTCTCTCTCTCTCTCTCTCTGTCAGCGTGTTCCATGGGCAGCGGCAGCAGCAGTCTCTACAGTGCACTGGCCAAGAGCATCAGCAGATCTCCTCTCCCTCACTCCTGTGGCTCTACGTACAGTCCCGGTGACAATCTGAATCTGGATCAGGACCCGGCCGACCCGCTGGAGCTGCTGCAGGAATGTAGAGAGGCTCTGAGAGAGCGGCCAGCTCATCTGAAGAGAGCTTTCGTTCAGACAGGACATGGAGACGCAAGGAGGACCATCAGAGTCATGCAGTGGAATGTACTCGCACAAGGTACACACTCATCTTTATGCACGCTGTCATTGAAATGTTTTAGATATATTGATGGGTTGCAGCGGATGCCCTTCCAACTGCAACCCATCTCTGGGAAACATCCATACACACTCATTCACACTCATACATTACGGACAATTTCATTCATTCATTCATTCATTTTCTTGTCGGCTTGGTCCCTTTATTAATCCGGGGTCGCCACAGTGGAATGAACCGTCAACTTATCCAGCAAGTTTTTATGCAGCGGATGCCCTTCCAGCCACAACCCATCTCTGGGAAACATCCACACACATTCACACACACTCATACACTACGGACAATTTAGCCTACCCAATTCACGTGTACCACATGTCTTTGGACTGTGGGGGAAACTGGAGCACCCGCAGGAAACCCATGCGAAGGCAGGGAGAACATGCAAACTCCACACAGAAACACCAACTGAGCCAAGGTTCGAACCAGCGACCTTCTTGCTGTGAGGCGAAAAGAACTACCTACTGCACCACTGCCTCGCCTACGGACAATTTAACCTTCCCAATTCACCTGTACCGCATGTCTTTGGACTGTGGGGTAAACCGGAGCACCTGGAGGAAACCCACACGAACGCAGGGAGAACATGCAAACTCTACACAGAAACGCCAACTGACCCAGCCAAGGCTCGAACCAGCAACCTTCTTGCTGTGAGGCGAAAGCACTTCCTACTGCGCCACTGCATCACCCCCATGTTACTTTTGGACTCTCATAATAAAGTGTGACCATACTATTTATTGCTAGGGTGGAAAAGCTGAATTTTTAGCTGTCATTATTGTAGTCTTCATGATGATGTGATCCACGTTTTAATATTCTCATTTGGTGGTCAAGAGATATTTCTTATTGTTGTCAATGTTAAAAAAAAACATAATTATTACACATATATATCATATATAAAGCTGTGTGTGTGTGTGTGTGTGTGTGTGTGTGTGTGTGTGTGTGTGTGTGTGTGTGTGTGTGTGTGTGTGTGTGTGTGTCTGCCTGTATGGCAGTATTAATCTATAATAAAATAAAAGGAAATTGTTGGTTTAATTACAGTTTGTAAGTCATAATGTGCGCATACACTGCAGCATGCCAGAGTGTGTTTGTGTATGTGTGGTCATGTGATCTCAACAGAGATCTGTTCAGAAAAGCTAGGTAAAACGTCAGTGTGGACGTGGATTGTTTTCATTCTAAAATGCCATTTTAAAACTAAGACGTATTAGTGTAAACAGGGCCTAATAGAGATTTCTCACTGCACACAGAAACAGCTTATTGGTTTCAGCACTGGGTCTATTTCTTCCCACACTGCTCACACTCAATTAAAGTGACAGTGCATTGATAATGACCAAAAACACATTGAGTGACAGTAAAAAGTAGCAATTTTACCCAATAAATGCATCGATGGTATCCACTGATTTTTATATATTTAATCAAATGAACTTAAACGAGACGAGGCAGTGGCGCAGTAGGTAGTGCTGTCGCCTCACAGCAAGAAGGTCACTGGGTCGCTGGTTTGAACCTTGGCTCAGTTGGTGTTTCTGTGTGCAGTTTGCATATTCTCCCTGCCTTCGCGTGGGTTTCCTCCGGGTGCTCCGGTTTCCCCCACAGTCCAAAGACATGCGGTACAGGTGAATTGGGTAGGCTAAATTGTCCATAGTGTATGAGTATATGAGTGTGTGTGTGGATGTATCCCAGACATGGGTTGCAGCTGAAAGGGCATCCGCTGCGTATAAACTTGCTGGATAAGTTGGCGGTTCATTCTGCTGTGATGACCTCGGATTAATAAAGGGAATAAGCCGACAAGAAAATGAATGAATGAATGAATGAATGAACTTAAACGATTAAAAATAGCAACAAATATTTATTTGGGCCCGAACTACAAAACCACATTTAAAACAATTTTAGTATTAGTTTTGCTTAGTAAGTTGCTCACTAATTTGATCATGTATTAATATCATTATAACTTTTATTCTAACCATAGGCCTACATCATCCTGGCAATCAAAAACAAAATGACATGATATCACAGGCGATTGTCTTCTGAGTGCACCAGACATGAATGAAACTCATAGAGTGGGAAGCATACAGTTCTTTAGGATCTATATAATTTGTACAATAAACAATAAAGAGTTGCAGGTTAAGGAAACAGCATAGAAAGGCTGTGGGCCTTGGTGCAGATGAAAAGTTAAAAAAAAAAAAAACCCGTATTTATAGATAGATAGGTAACTACACAGAGATAGATTGATCTGTGCAGCAGCTGCTGATGACCTGCACGCTGCAGATGCAGTCGGTGTGAAAGACAAATGCCTGCTCACTGCTCCTGCTCTCTATATGCGCTGCTCACGCTCTGCTTGCGCTTGTGGTGTAAGTGTCTATTTTTCACAAGCGGGTTACTACTGCAACAGAGGTGGGGCGGAGGATCGCTATTGACCCAATCCTAGTTAAAACAGCGCAAATCTCTGCTAAAATTCCGATTTTCCAAGGTAATCGCATGTCAATCGCGTCAAACGCTCAATCGTGGTGCTTCATTTACGTGAACTGCATCATTTGTGTCGCATCATTTGCATAAATCATGCTGCAGGATGTCTATTCTTGTGTTTCCATTGACTTAACATGTAAATCACTCACGCTTGCCGCTTTATCCGTGTCTGGTGTGAACGCACAATAATAGAAGTCAGTGATTAGCAGTTTCCAGCTTTCTTTAGAATTTCGTTTTTTTTTTTTTTTTTTTTTTGGTTCAGAATAAAAAAGAAACTTTGGAAGCATTTGAGTAAATAATGCATGTACATTTGCATTTCTAGGTTACCCATCCCTGTTAAATAATATAGTCTCCACCCAACCTTAAAATCTTGCATCAAAACCTTTTTGACATGCTTATAACAAGCATAAATGCTTTAACAGTTATGATTAGCAGTTACAACAACAACAACAAAAATGCTTCACTAAGTTCTAAAAGTTTAGGATTTCTTCATTTGGGATGATTTATGGCCATTATGTTTTAACCCATCTTCTTTCTGTCCCATTGCAGCACTAGGTGAGGGCATGGACAATTTCGTGCAGTGCCCCTTGGATGCTCTGAACTGGCCTGAGCGGAAGTACATGATCCTGGAGGAGATCCTGACCTACAAACCGGACATCCTCTGCCTTCAGGAAGTCGATCACTATTTTGACATGTTCCAGCCCGTTCTCGCAACCCTGGGCTACCAGAGCAGCTTTTGCCCCAAACCATGGTCTCCATGTCTCGATGTAGAAAACAACAACGGCCCTGATGGCTGCGCTCTGTTCTTCAATCACAAACGCTTCCAGTTAGTAAACACAACTCACCTGCGACTGTCCGCCATGATGCTTAAAACCAATCAGGTGGCAATCGTCGCTGCTTTGCGTTGTCGATCAACAGGTCGAGTCTTCTGTGTCGGAGTCACGCATCTGAAAGCCAGGAGCGGTTGGGAAGTCTTACGAAGCGCGCAGGGTTCAGATCTGCTGCGAAACCTGCGGAACATTACACAGAAAATCGAAACAGAGGAAAACGCTGAGTCAGCCATTCCTCTGATAGTATGCGGCGATTTTAATGCCGAGCCATCAGAAGACGTCTATAGGAATTTCGCAACATCTAGTCTGGGATTGGACAGCGCGTATAAGCTTTTGAGTACAGATGGGAAAACTGAGCCACCATACACAACGTGGAAGATCCGACCCAGTGGCGAGAGTTGCCACACACTGGATTACGTTTGGTATTCGCACCGAGCATTTGACGTTAATGCCGTTCTAGACTTTCCTACAGCTGAACAAATCGGACCTAATAGGCTGCCATCATATAACTACCCTTCAGATCACCTTTCGCTTGTCTGTGACTTCTGCTTTACGGATCCAGTTAATTAGTTGAATTCAGATTTGCTAGTTATCTTTCAAAGCAATGCAGTTGCATGGCAGTTCGTAACTTAAAAATAATAATAATTTAATGGCAAAATTCATACAATCTCATTCGTACGTTTTAGTATGATTTGGATATGCCCTCAGTGCTGGTTATGGTTAAGGGGTGGGCTTTCTTTTGAAAAATCATACATTTTAGTATGACACTGTGCAATTTTGTATGAATTCACGTTTTTTTTTTTTGTTTTTTTTATCATTAAATAGTTATGTTTTGCCATGGAATCAGACTCTGGAAGACATTTCTGACAAGACTTCATTTGGCACATTTCTGAAACCAATCTCATGGCAAAAAAATACATGTGTTGGTGGATTAGTTACTTATTTTGACACCCTGGTCAGTGTTTAGGGGTGAAGTTTGGGGCCTTCATGCTTGTGAAAAGATCTTTGTTAATATACGTAAATGTATGAGCTAATGTGAACTAACAATACTCAAATTCAACATCTGATAATCCTGCAAAATGTTCATTAATAAAATACTCTTGTTAGTTTGCAGTACATTCATATTAACATTTAACTTTTGATTTTAAAAATGTATTACTAAAATTTTGTATTAATATATTAACAAATTATGCAGTTCATTAGTGTCTGTTACCAACCAATGCAGACAAATGGAGGAAGTGTTTCTGAAAATATACAGAATAATGGAATCTTCATAAAACATGATTGTCTCATAAAAGTAGTCTGGACAGAAAGATTTACAAATAATAATTGAATTGGTCTGTTTCTTGCACAGCTAAAACTATATTATGGCTTCAGAATTGAAATCTAGTTGAAATGTGTAAAATGGCATCTGTTTTTATTGTATTAACAAAAGCAGCTTGGATATTAAGTGAAATGTCTTGCGTAAATAATAAATATATACAACTCTAAATGGAAAAGATGATAAGTAATGATGATGACAGAATGTTCATTGTGTAATGTGTTCTGTAGGTTCACTCACGCAAATGTGTTACAACTTTATTTCTAAAATCTATCAACCAATTTTTTTTTTGTCTTTTTTTTTTTTTTTTTTTGTAATATGACCAGAGCTTTTAGACCATTAAAAATAGTTCCAGGTGTCAAATTCCGCCTAAACGAGCGCACACATGCACAAATGAGAGAAGTCTTGTTTCACAATATTTTCCTTTGTGCAGCTGGTTTCACCAGTCTCTGATCTAAAGGACACATTTAAACTATTATTATCCGTCAGCTGAGCTCCTCATTTTATAATCAGATTCAGACTTTTTTAGCTAAACAACAAAGTCAACAGAAAATGCTGTTTCGCAGCTTTTAACATCACTATTCTTGTTATTTATTTAAAGTAGAGTTTTATAATGTTTGACCAATATGTCTCGGCAGGTTTCGAGAGGTTTTGTTGAAGAAGAGTTCCTGTGTGGAAAGTTTCTCATCAGATCGCACAACAAACGAATAGCTGTCTAGTATTCACGTCTCCCCCTAGTGGATGAATTTGTAACTGCACGCACAGAACCAAAACAAATACTGTAACTTACGCGCTTCAGACTCTTGACGTACAAAAACAATGAATTAATGTTTGTACAATTCTTTTGAAATCTCCCGACGAGCTCCTAATGTTAGCAAATAAAATGTGCTCAATTTTACCTCATTTTCAGTGAGTTTCTTGTTCAGACGATCATTTCTCTTCAGAAGACTTCAATGCTACCACCAACGGTAACGTATTCATTTTGATTTGGTTGGACGTGTGTTTATCGTTGTTTTACTCCCTAAAAGCGCTGATAGCAGTTGAGTTGCAATTTTCTGAATCGGCAAGCCGCTATAGGTCTTACAAAAATAAATAAATGTCTATAGACCATTTGAGGGACGTAAACAAAAACAACCCTACTGAATCAAAAACAGCTTAAACCAGCCTAGGCTGGTTTTAGAGGGGTTTTGGCCATTCAGGCTGGGAGATGACCAGCCTAAACCAGCTAAAAATACATCTTGAGCTGGTTTAGGCTGGTCATTTTCCAGCTTGACCAGCTAAGGCCAGGCGGGAAATGGCTGAAACCCCTCTAAAATTAGGCTGGCTGACCAGCTAAAACCAGTTGACCAGCTTAGGCTGGTTTAAGCTGTTTTTTCTGCAAGGAATAGTCCCAAATGTCCTGTTTTACATTTTTAATTTCTATTACTTCTGAGAATCCAAAAAGAGCAACATATTGATGATGTTATGATAGCTGTTTTAACTTTAAGTATGATTGAATAGCCTCTTGTTACAATTATGAAATAGTTTGATAAGCAGAAAATGCTCAAGGGCCAATGACATGACCACATTAAACTAATATTAAAGAGAAAGCTAACTTAAAACCTTAAATTCAGTCATCATTTCCTCACCCTCCATTTGTTTTAAACCTGTTTAAGCTTATTTCTGTTGAACATAATATATGTTGAAGAATGTTGGAAATCATCCAAAATTTGTTGTTTTCTCAAGTATGGAAGTCAATGGTTTCCAATACACTACAACATATCGTATTTTGTGTTCAACACAAGGAAAAACTGAGGTCTGAGAAGACTTGAGGTCGAGTAAATTGTGAGAAGGCTACTTTTTTCCATCTCTTTAATGACTTTTAAGAAAAATCAATTCCAGAAAGAAAAGGATAGTTCAGTTATGCAAGATACATTTCCATAAAAATATTCTAAAGAAGTTCTTAAAGATCATCTTTATTTATTGGCAGTCTAGTGCTTGGACTGTATGGTTTTACTATGCTGAGTATAATTTGCACTGTATTTGCACTTGTTGTTTATGCCACCTTGTCATTTTCTTGCCTTTCAGATTGCTTTTTTGAACACTTTATCTCAGATGTCAACCTAGCCCAGACTGACAATTTTGTATTACGTTTAGTTTTCATTATCAGTGGAAATGGGTCCCAACTGCCACAGACACAAGTTATCAGGGTATCCAGCAGGGTCTTAAAATGTCAAAATTAAAATTTTAGGCCTTAAAAAGTCTTAAATTCACTGCATTGTTGTAGGTCTTTTTAAACAGGTCTTAATTTCCTTATGTCCATATAAAGCTACCAAGTCAGGCCAACACCTATCCAACAACTATCATTACATCTCCCTAAAAGTTTTAACAAAAGTTTATTAACTCTATTTATATTTCTATCTATAAACATATGGTTAAATTACCTTCCTTACTATAACATTTGTTTTTAAATGTTTTTTTTTATGTTTTAACTGGGCCAATAGAAAAAGCTTTGTGTAAAAGGTCTTGAAGTCTTAAATTTGACTTGAAACCTGCAGAAACCCTGGTTATATTCTTGACTTTATAGTAGAAAATATACTATGAAGAAAGATTTCGATTTTGGCCAAACACAGTTTGACAGTGTAGTACGAGTCAAGCTGCAATTTTGAATGCATTTCTTGTGTACACAATAAAAAAACTTCCATATCTGATCTCGAAAACACTGATAACTTTAAACAAACATAGCTGGGTCCTAGGGCTGGATGATTAATTAAAAAAATAATCAAAATCGATATTCAGAACCAAAAATAAATCAATATCCCAGCTTGATTTTTTTCGATAACTTTCCCTACCGTGTGTGGGCTCAAGTGACCACGCTCTATACTTTGCTCTACATTGACGACTGAAGAAGCTGCACTTGAGACTGCATATTTCCCATTACATCAAAACTATTATTAAATTAAAACATTTCTTTACAGTAGATGCAAGAAATGCACTGTTTATTATTACAGTGCTCATTATTACAGGATATGCAAGAGTTGTTTTATTTAACAGAGATACTGCTTATTTTCCACTTTTAACAAGTCTTATAAACATCTCTCATTTGTGATGTGAATATATTTACTGTACAAAACCTGTCAGTGAACTATGAGGGCAAAACAATAAAATAAAAAATCCTTCATTAATCGCAATAGAGTTGAAATGTTCAATTAATCGATTCTGATTTGAGGCCAAATCGCCCAGCTTTACCGGGTCCTTCACTTTTTGGGGTCCCCCAACAAACTTCCATTGTACTCTGCAATATGTGCAGTGCGTTTCTCTATTTGCAAGTGGTTTTACAAGTATGCGTGTTGTAAAACTAAAGATGTTTACCTCAGTTTGTTAGTGTTATTCTAGCATGCATTTTCTTAACTCTTAACCACTAAATAAGTCTAAAAGAAAAACGACATTTTTGAAAGTGTTTTTATGTATTAATATTAATAAAATTTCAGATATTATTAATAACTGACCAATTTACAAAAAAAATATTTTAAAAGTCAAATTTAGAAGAGTAGCATGTATTTTAATGCATTTAATGCTCAATGTCAGTTGGAGATCAAGAAAAGGTGACCTAAAAGCAGTGGTGTAAAGTAACCAATTATAAATACTCAAACTATTGTTATTTTTCAACATGACGACAGACTGAAGTTGTACCCCAACGTCATGGGGCCATTGCATTTTGTTTGGAAATGAACATCGGGTTGACGTCAGAATTCAATGTCAGGCCAACATCAATGTCTAACCTAAAATCAACCAAATATCAACGTCTAATGATGTTACAGCTTGACGTTGTGTGAACGTTACCACTATGACGTCTATCAGACGTTGGATTTTTGTTGCCATACCTAATGAATAAATGTCAGTATTTGAGATCTATATGATGTCAGTTTAAGATGTTGGCTCGACGTTGGATTGTGGTCACTTTCCAACACAACCTAAAAATCAACCAAATATCATTTAACGTCGTTATTGGACATCAAAATAACATTGTCTGTAGATGCTGGCTAGACATTGGACTTTGTTCACCTGACATCAAAACCTAAATATAACTTAATATTAACGTCTTATGTTGTGTGCCTGCTGGGCAATAACTAAATGCACTACAGAATGTTACGTTCACACACATCTACAAATGACATATAAATGGTCACAGGGTAATACTCACTATGAGAACTTTTGAAAGGGATACTTTTTTTTTTACTCATACTTTGAGTATTATTCAAAACAGATACTTTCTCTACTTGCACAACATTAAGGCACGTAATGGTACTTTTACTTGAGTATGATTTCAGTACTCTTTCCACCACTGCCTAAAACCATGCAACAAAGGAGCGAACACGGGTAAATCAAACACGCCACACAAATTCAGGAATATTTTTGTATTTGAGTAAAATCTACTTGAGTACACTTTGAAACAAGAGTACAACAAAATAGAAATGTACTTCAAATGTTGAATATACAAACTAGATTACTCTGAACACAAACATCTTCCTCTCCCCTGTGTAAGAACTAATATAAAGCAAAAGAAAACAGAAGCAGAAGAAATGTATTTGCAGTGAGGATGCACGCTGCTGATTGACCTTTTCCTTTTTCCTCTCTCTCTCTCGTGTTTTTTGACATATGGGTAATGTTCCAGGATTTGGATACAGATCTGATTACAAACAAATACTATGGCCATTTTTATTCTGCGAGATTGGGATGGTGAGAATGCAAAAAATGCTTTTAGTTAGTAAATTTGCCAATAATACTGTGCTTGGTACAATGACGAGGAGAAAAGAAGAAAAAAAACATGAGCTTAAAAACAAAAGCTTAACAAGCTTGACTTAAAAAGAAACAACAAAACTGTTCTAAGGCTGCTTTGTTTATAAATTCAGTAAACTGTATAGTTCATATATACAAAGTCCATTTCTTCCCTTAGTGGAAGTGGAGGGAGACTTGACACGTTCCTGTGAAACACAGGCAGAAGCGTGCGCTCACAGTGATCGTCAAAACAAACTGCTGGTTTCACCTGGCAATTTTAATATTCAAGGGAGAGAAACTCTTTATACGAGATTATAAAAAGTTGAATTTATCCTCCCTTTAAAGTTCACATATTTGTCTACTTCACTCTTTAGTGTTCTGCTTAAATGGTATTAGTGTCATTTAAAAAGAAAAAAGAACTGTAGTGTACTTTACATTGGTCCCTTTAACAACTCATAATTGAAATGACGGACATCCAGATTAAATCCACATGATGTGAGATTTGTGGTGCCGAATAAAGGCAGGTTTTTTAATGATGTCTTTTTTTTGTAAAATGAAACCACACTTAAACTCCGAAACTGTACAAGTCAACAAATCTCCAGTTTGCTCTCCCAGAATGTGATTAAAGAGTATCTGGGAAATAGAAGTTCATTTATTATTGTCTGAGACTGACCAATCGCATCGCTCTTCAGCTCTCGGCTTCAGACTGTGGGTTTGAAGCTTCCTCTGGCACTTTGAGCGTGGGATTGTCCAGCACGGTGATGTCAGGTTTGGATTCTGTTGTCTTTTCTTTTGGAGAGAGTTGGCTCTGTTGAATCTGGATCTGCAGCGGGACTGACTGTACAGTAGATGCAGTCTGAACGGAGATTGGGATGCGAGTTTGCGTTTGGATTGAAACAGGTACTTGCGTCTTTGCCTGCACTGGACTTTGCTGGGCTGGAACAGCCAGTCTAACCACCTGCGTCCCTGGTGCCACAGACATGGGTGTCAGAGCCCGGACTGTGAGCGGAGCACCCATTAGATTGATACCTGTTGGGGTGCCGGGTTTGGCCTGTAGCTGGCACTGCGTGAGCTGGGTTGCGGGGATGGTGATAATCTTGGCGAGCTGGACCGTGATCTTATCTCCGTTCTCTGCGGTGGCGGGCACCATCGTTGGCATGGTCTGGATCAAGACTTTAGGGGCGTTGGTGCCAGTCGGTGAGCCGGTGTTGGTGGGCGCTGTGGTGAGGAGCGAGGGGTTAGTGGACTGAACGGCCACCGTGGAGATCTTCTGTCCCAAAGAATTAGTCATGACGACCGGCACTTGCATGGCAACCCGCACAGTCCTGCACACAAAGATATGTTTTAAGACAAAGAATCAATCGGTGTTCACCAAGTGCTCATATTTTGCCCTTTTTATCATAATGTGTGTAGATGTTCCTCTTTTCTCCCTCTGCATCTGCACTTTTTTTTGTTACTAGTACTTTTAATGCATTCCCAAGAGCATCATTGGGTTAGTTTGGCTACGATTATAAATTTTGGTTGCACGATTTTAGTCTGAGGAATAATCACGGTTATTATCCATTCATTCATTTTAAAACATGCGAAAACACAATATGTGAACAGCCCTTAGTTAAGACCCTCAGCCATAGTTAGCCCAGTGTGCATTAACCTCAGTGTATAAGCTCGGAAATTCAAACTAGCGCACAGTTGGCATAACTTTCTTTAGCTGCAGAAGTTTTGTTCCGTGCAGAAAAGCGATGTTGAGAAGCCTTTAAGATTAACTAACTGACAAATTAAAACAAGTTTAATAATGAAATCGGTTTATTTCTATCCTTATTTGGCTAGAGTAAACCATTTTCTGAAATCAGGTGCACGCCAATGGACCACAACCAAATCTGCTTGTCTGACTTTTACAATGTTTTTACTCACTTTTCTGACAGATGTATCCATTTTTCAACTTCAGAGGAAACTGACTTTTTTGTTTAAGCCTTTACATCACATTCATGACAAACCGATTCATTTGCTGCTCACTGTTAGCACTTAAAAACAAAACTTCATATTTAAAGTCTAAAGTTCGAACTTGAGGATCCAAGCAGCAGTGTCCAGTCATTTTGCTGCATCTCCCACTTTGTCGATACTTAGCAATAGCGGTCACTGTTATGATTTAAACTTACTGCGGTCAGAACCAAAAACCAGTGTGAACCAAACATGGCTTTTTGTATTGGTTTTGATAATGATTTAATGTAACTTTTATTTTATTTTGTTAAACCTTAGGAAGAACAGCCACTACCAACAAATAGTGGCTAATGGAGATTTAAATAAATAAACAAACAAACCAAGCATTTAATCCCAATATGAAAGCACCCTTAGTTCCTGCCTCTTTAAAGCCCTAATGGAAAGCTGCTCTGATTGGTTATACTGGCTGTAAAATATCTACAAAAATTATACTAATCAGGGTTCAACGCTAAGGATTTTTCCTACTGGCCCAATTGGACTCAGATTTTTACATGCCCTGCTAAAATTTGCCTAGCCGGGCCAGTAACGATTCTGCCTACTGTCCCGAGCATCCCTCACGCTGGCCCCGGGCCATTGTTGAGCCCTGCTAATAATACTAATACAAATAATAATGAATATAACTAAATACTATAACTATGTATTTTATTGGTCCAAAAAGTGTTTCAAGTGTAAACTGAATAAATCCTAAATTCTTCTTTCATTACTTGACCTATAAAGACTTCCCAGACCCAATCTAGCAGACTTTTAAATAAGCTAAATTATTTTAGACTTCTTAAGTGTTTTTTGTTTTTTATAACATCATTAAAACACCAATTAAGATATTACTGTAGACAATTATTTTACACTCCAGTAGGTAGTATACATAACATGACTTCAAATGCAACGAATATCACACTGAAGACAAAAACACAGCATCCAAACCACTTACATAATTGTTACGGAGGGAGAGTAAAAACAGCTTAAAGGCACACATTATGCAAATGTGCAACACAGTGATATAGCTGGGTCACAGAAATAACAAGACTACAAATGAGGCATTTCAGCCAGATGCTATCTGTTAGAGAAATTAACTCCCTTTAGAGTGGACTTTGTGCTTTATTTGTAAAATATTGCACATTAAGTTAAATATATGATATGAATATGAGATAGAAAACTAAAAAAAAAGCATAACAGTCATCTTTAATTGTGGTTACCTGGGTGCATTAGCATTGGAAATAATGGTGGCATGGGACGGATCTGCTGTGGACACCATTACTGTGCGCTGAACAGGAGTTGCAGTGAGTGCAGCTTTAGCTTTCGGGGAGCCTGGATGAAGCACAGTCCTGTCGGCCGCTCTCAAGATGGTCGGGGTTTTGGAAAGATCAGTCAATAGAGTGTCAGATGAAGGAGGAACGCGCTCGTAGGTCTTCTCTCCTATTACATCATCACCCGGGTCACACTTGTCATCATCGATGACAACAATGTCTTTAGGCATTTCCTTAAACTGATACACCAACCTCTGACCCTCGACTTTAGCCAAGATGCCTCTCTGATAGTAATACCTGGAGAAAGATTATATAAAGTAATTATATAGAACCAATTTAATGACTTCCAAATAGTCAATATGGTATTCCAACAACATAAAACACTTTACACACACAAGCTGCTCACCTGAGCGCTCTACCCATGGTTTCATAGTTCATGTCTGGTTTGTTTTTGTGTTTGCCCCAGAGTTTTGAGACCGCTTTGGAGTCCACCAGCTTAAAGATGCCCTTCTCTCTCTGTGTCCACTTGATGTATCTGGGACAGGTGTTCTTATCCTGCAGCAGGTCCAACAGGAACTCCCACAGGTATGTACTTCCTGTAAGCAATGTTTCTTGTAAGCAAGCAATCAGCAACATTTGTTAAGTAAAGAGTTTGCAGAGGATGTTCTGGGATGGCCTGGGGTCATCATGAGAGATGCTCAAGACTGTAGACTAGGCATGGGGGCGGTATAAGATTCTGATGGTATGATAACCTTGGATTCAAATATCACAGTTTTATGGTGTCAAGATATTGTGACTAATGCTGTAAAACATGTTTAGGTCCATAGGATGCTTGGATGTAGGTGCAGAAGTGATTTGTTTAGCAAAATGTTTGCTGAAACATGGGCTGACCTATAGCTTTTAATGTGAATGGCCCTTTGCTACTGGAGATACTGTTTGCCATTAACAAATTATTTGACAACATGTAAAAATAAATAAATTGTAAAAAGTCTTACATATACCACATGAACGGTACAACTGAAAATTGTAGCCTTTTTTGAAACCTTGACTTTTCCAAACTGCGGTCAGTACTTCCCAAACATAGGGTGTACTCGCACTATGTATAGTTAGTTGCCTTGAACCGTGCCGAAGCACGCTTGTCCCACCTCCCCTCTCCCTGGACAGCCTGCACTCACATTACATGTGAGCGGGAGTACGCTTACATCATCGATGATGTGCTGTTTAGTTTAACAGAGGAGAAGCGCTCTTGCTCAGCACAGTGGAGATTTCTTTAGAACACTTGTAGTGTGAGTGCAAAGCGCACCTGAGCCCGTAACTGAAGACGCAACATCACTTTTAGGGGACTGTTTCATATGGATTTATTAATCATTCTTACTATTAAATGGACGTGAACTGTCATAGTTTATTAAAGATGCAAACCTTTCGCTGAACCTTCAGCAAACCTCCTTATACATGCTGCACGAGGATGAGTACCAAAAGTTGTGGATCTGTTTGGCAAAATATTTGACTACATCTCACAGCATCCCAAACAACTAAAAATTATACAAAACAATATAACTAAAGCAATCTCCACTAAGCTGAGCGAGAGCACTTCTCTTTCAGTTAAACTGAAGTCGCAGCATCGAAGACGTAAGCATGCTCCACGTTTGAAGTGAAGATGCTGTGTAAAGCCTGGTTTATACTTCTGCGTCAAGTGACCGGCGTAACCCACGGTGCATGCAACGCCAGTGGCTGTGCATTTATACTTCTGCGCGCTGTCTCTGTTGGTCTGCATTACACTTCCGAAACGCTAGTTGGCAGTGAGGTGTAAATGTTCCTCTGTGTCGAGTTTCTTCGCTGCTGTTTTGCTTTTCCTGAACACTTCCTGGATGTACAAGTGGCTCAAACTCGCTCATTTTGAGGCAGGAACTGGCGGACGTGCAACAACTTTAACTATGAGGTAAACACAAAACAAAACTTTCCATCCAGAGCTCCTTCACAGGACTCCACACTTGTAAACAATCACTCGCGGCTCTCGCTCCCGCGCAGACTCGTCAGCGCTACAAAGTGACCAATCACAGAGCTTGCTCTACGTGTCGTTGCGACGTGTAGTTACAATTTTTGAGAGGTGCACGTCAGCGACGCCGACGGCCATGGCGAAGGTCTATGCGTCAGCGCCGTAGCATACACCGGCGTTTGACGCAGAAGTATAAATCAGCCTTAAGTGCAGGCCTTTGGGTGAGAGGGAAGGGGTAAAAGTGCGCTTCGGACACGGTTCAAGACAATCGTGCCTAGTGTGAGTTTGCCCTTAGTCTTGAGCCTTGGGATGTAGATTAAAGGTAATCATTTAATATAAATAATGTTCATGTGGATGTTCATGTTTGTGCACAGAGCATTCACTTTGCTTCATGAGACCTCGATGTATCAAGAGCTGCTGGTATTGATTTAGTTTTGCCTTTTACTTTTTTCTATTCAAAGTGCCTCAGCTAAAATAAAATAAAATAAACTATAATCTACATCTGCATGAGCATGGGGAAAATTAAACTAGTTTAAATAATTTTGGTGAAGTATTACTTTAACAACTTCTGACACTCCGGTGATAATTTGATGTTCTAATTTCTACCAAGCAATTGAATGGATATATAACAGTTTGTGTGACATACCTTTTCCTTCTCTAGACTTCTTCTTGATACCCATATCTGGAGATCCATTAGAAATGTGATGGGGTTTGGGCTTCCTCCCCGCTAAAAATAAACAAACAACAGCTTAGAATCTTCAAAAACAGAACAGAATTCATGTACATCTAAAACATCTATATACCGCCTACGAAAATGTTCAAGCATTCTTACATTTTCTTCTCTTGCTGGGTTCAGTGTCCAGCATCTCAGGCTCCTGAATGACAGTAACCACCTCCATGGGCTCCATGTCCTCAGTGCTGACCTCAACCACCGTCTCGGTCAGCACATCAGGTCGCATGGCAGCATGCAGGAACTCTGAAGTGTTGACACATGGAGGCACAAACACCTCTACACAAGACAAAAAAAATCTCAGAAATGTGCTCGTTGTTTAGCTGGCTAGCGCTTTGTTTTGAAATGCAAAGGTTAAAAATGAATAGAGATGATCTGGCAGTGTTTACCTGGGCTTCTGTCTCCACGCAAACTGGAGGGAGAGTCCATGTGAAGAAGGGCTTCAGCGGCCTCGATGGTTTTATCAGAGCATTGCACACCATGAACTGATGCTTCCACTGCAATAAACAAAACAAACAAAAAATAAAAAGATTTTTTTTTTATAAAATTTAGAAGCTTCTTGATTTATTACCAAGTTTTATTTATTTGTTCAAAAATACAGTACAAATGGAAACAGTGACCTATCACAAATAAAAATATTAGTTTTCCATTTGAATATATTTTTAAATGTTCATGTCATTTATTTCTGTTGTGGCAAAGCTGATATTTATTATTACATTCATCTTCTTTAATTAACTGTAATATGCTGCTGAATTCTCCCTCAAAAAATATTTTTATGATCCAAAATAATTGCAGTAATGTTCAAAAACTTGTCAAACAACCGTTTTGTAGTATTATAAAGTTTTTTTTATTATTTGATTGTTTAATGCATTCTTGAAAAGTTGATTAACTATTTATTAAAAGTCCCAAAAAAAGTAGTTTCAAACAGAATATGTGTGCACTGAAATGCCAATAGTTCATTTATTTATAAAGTCACAAGATTGACCAAAGTGCTACACAAGTCAAAGTAAAATAAAAAGACAGAATATAAAATCATAAAAACCAAGAGAAACGACTAAATAAATGTACAAATGAAGCAGTAGAATGGACTATTAAAATAATATTTTAGGTCAAGCTTAATAGGTAGGTTTTAAGGAGTTAAATAAAAATACATATAATATATATATATAATAAAAATACATAGTGATGGATCCATTCTAATATCAAGGGGCAAAGTGTTCCATAATCGAGGACCTGCAACAGAGAAAGCTCTGTCCCCTCTACATTTCACTCTGGACTGAGGAACTAAAAGAAAAATTTGATCATTTCATCTAAGAGATCTTATAGGAGTGTAAAAAAGCAGCAGCTCTGAGAGAAAGGTGAGGGCTAGATTATGAAGGGATTTTAATACCAGTAAAAGCCCTTTAAAAATCTATTCTGAATTGGGCAGCCAATGGAGGCCCCCTCAGAAGAGGGGTGATGTGGTCATGTTTCCTACTATAACAAATAAATCTAGCAGCAGCATATTGAAGCAATAGAGGGCGCTATTGTGTCTCAAAATCATATTGAAACAAAAAAATAAAATAAATCACACACAGAGCCTCACAACATGAGTGTTTTGCCATGAAAATTGGTCTAGCAAAGTAAAAAAAATAAATAAATAAAACTGTGAAAAACAATGTGCTACCTTAAAGTTGTATGAGAATTTTTTTGGAGAATAGACTAAATTATGTTTTAACACTTAATGACTTTAATCTTCTTCAGGATTTCTGTTGGTTTTATCAAGTCAAATTTAACACTTTTTAAGAGCCTTAAGAATAAATTTTAGGCTTACAAAGGCCAATGGTTATGATGTTTTTAAATGGCCTGGTATTATGAGAAATTGTTTTTAGTTTTTTGGGGGGAATTTGCTGTAAAAATATCTAATAATAGCCTCTGATTATTGTATCTCTTTGCAATAAAAAAAAACTTAAATATAAAAAATAAGGGTTTTATTAAGATGTATTGTTGCTCATTGGATGGATGTCAGCTCAAACTGAGTAGCTTTACTTAGACAAAGCGAAATTAAGACCCGTTTAATACGATATATCAGTAAATGCCAGACTTTAAGGCCTAAAATTTAGGTTTTGAAATGCAAGACATTAAGACCCAGCGGACACCCCTGTTCACAATCAAAAACTACCAGACTGTTAACACTGACAGCAACTTGAAATGAAAAAGTGACTGGAATTGCTTAAAAATAACCAACACAAAAACCTACAAAGCAAATGTGCCATCTAAAAACTGTTGAGATCCTGCAGTTGTGACTAAACAGATCCAATGGTGTAATACCTGCGATCAGTCACCTTAAAGCCCAATTAATGTGCTCAAAGACAGTTTGGATAAAAGCATCTGTTAACTGATAAGTCACTTCCTTCGCCGCTCTGATTCAGAAACAGGTGCAGAAGGCTGATCTCAGACGAGCAGTTCATGCATATATAGGACAGAACCTCTCGCCCGTTTCTCTGTGACGTGAACATGCAGAGCCACTCGCACCTGTGCCGGTCTATCCAAGCAGTCACTGAACTCCCATTATAACCTGACCCTGCCCATATTTGGCTATGTGTGTCTGTTGCTGCACACCGGGTCTATCTTTAGGCAGCCCCAGTCATAAACACATAAGCACGGTGTCCTCTAGAAAGGGTGACCCGGCAAGCAATTACTTCCGGTATTCGGACAAATCTGCCCTTGGAGACAGGACACAAATCAAAGTGTTTTATTAACAGAAAAAGATTGAAACTTAGTTTGGCAGATAGATTTCAGACCATGTAACATTAATTATTTAAACATCTATTTTATTTAAGTAATAAAACTAAGATTTAAGTTTGAGTGTCATCCATTAAAAGCTTGACAATCCTACAATTTTTACAAATACATCAAAAAAAAGTCCAGATAAGCTTTAGATATTGTTAGATATTTTTAAGAACTTGGGGTTGAACAATTTTATGAAAAACTACTTTTAAAAGGTCAAAACTTATGAAATTCAAAAGTAAATCTGAACTTATAAAAACTAACCGTGACAAATAAAGAAATAGAGTTAAAGCACCAATATTTTCAATATTCACAGCAAACTTTGACAAGCAAGTGGAAATACAAACTATTGTTTCAAGACAATGGACAAAATAAATACTTGGAATTATTACAGCTGTTAATGTATAACATGCAAGTAACCACGTCTTTTACGTTCATATAATAATCATTGGTAGTAACACCTCAGGAAATCGTAAACAACTGACACAAGAGAGTGTGTATAGCGGTACTATTTTTCTGTCACGAAAATAGCGGTCCACAAGAAAGTAGTGCAGTCCCTCTTCACTTCCGTGTTTACAGTCGTCAGAGCTTTCCCTCCAGTTCTTTCTGAAGACGCTCTGTGAGCTTCCTGCCACTCAATCCCCGCCCCGGCTCTGGTTGGCCGCTTTTCTAATAAACGCCCCAACAACCAGGCAAAGCGATTGGTCGAGTGTAGGATTTCGAACGCGCCGCGAATTCTATTGGACGATTAGTGCTGTCAGTCAAAATGCAGACAGCCCAGTGGAATAACAATGCTTCCGCCATCAAATTAGCTCTAAAATCCAAACATCCACATTAATAAAACTTAAAATACTCACTCGACACTTTTACAGCAGCACACTTCACGTCTTAAAACACACACTGATGTTTAAAGGAATTATTACGCGTCATGTTTTTCTAACGGAGCTTAACACTCGCAGCGTTAAAATGTGCGACCACGTTTAGATAACGGGACATCTGCGACATGAAGCGAACAACCATTACAGAACTAAAACTCAGAGTTTATTACATACATATTAACACTGTTAGGAAATTAAAATGCAGTTGTATTGAATGTGGTCCGCATGTTATTTTTTTCCTACGAATATGTCACATTTCCTTTGAAGACGGGCCATTAAATTAAACAATCGTCAAACATAAAGCTCTCATGGGCTATTTTATAAAGTAAGCAATGCGCCTCGCAGTTTTACTACTATTTACATTTCAACTAGTTATATTTCAGAGTGTAAAAATTAAACTCATGTCCTTCCGACTCCAGACAGCGTGGCAAAGACGTAGGAAAGACAACATCTCTCCCACTTCCTGGTTTCAGAGCAGCGCACCACCTCCAGAGAAGCCCGTTATTTGAACACACACTCCACATTAAAACGCACCCAGCGCCGTGCAAACTCAACAGTGTGCACGCTGATCGCGCACAACACAACATGCACGCTCTCGCGCTACTTTTCAGCACTCCAAGAAAGCACATAAGAAAATTAGTTAACGCCATGCAGGTTGCCAACCAAGGTGATCACTTCCTGAAATGCCCTCCATTACTTCACAGCACAACTTCACGGATCTCAGCGCTGCGGCGCGCGCACCGCTCTGCTGCGGCCAAAGCAAACCCACGCTGGCGAGCCTGAACGCGCGCTTTTGACTTTTTTACCTGCTCGGATAAGTAGATCGAGCTGGTTAGCGGGTCCCTCATGCAGCGACGTCGCCATGTTTCGTCCAGAGGTGCAGATTCACATTGACTCGCATTGAAAGCGTTTAGAGACGCACAACTCGCAGATCACTCCGCCTCCACAGGAAATCTCCACAAACTCAACCGCGCGCGCACAGATCCTTCCGCGTCAAACACAGGAAATCCTCCGCGCGCTCAGCCTTTACGTTCGAATTACGTCAACAACGGAGAGAAAGGATTCGTATATAACAAGTAATCATTCACAGTACAAAACCATATCCCGTGCTTAAAATGAATACAAATAACGCGCTCTACACGACGCGAGTACAATAATTGAAAATGCTTCCGAATAGACACGGATGCGACATAAGTAGGCGTTTCTTATAATCTTTTGGTCGTCGTATTTTATTCTAAACTCTCATTCCTTATCCAATGTTTTAAATGTTTATATTGAAACAAACACTGCAAATAATACACAAAGCATGGACATAAATTAATGGCACATGACATAAGCCATTATAACCAATAAGTATCGACAATAGGAGTATGATAATACTGTCAAATGAGCACTAAAGCTAAATATGTTTCTCCATGTTGTTTTTGGTGTCCTGTTGTATCCTTATCTAAAGAGACATCTTCATATTGACTTTAAAATTTGTATTAAATTGATCTGGAAATTAAAACAAAAATCACTGAATACTTCTGAAGACACAAATATGAAATATGGCGTTTATTTAGCAAACTTATTTATCATCATTATTGTATTAATATTACAACTCGCCACCTTGGAATTATAAGGTTCTATCTGCATTTTGAATTACTTTGAGATATTGAGCTTCAAAGTTTTCACATTCCATATAGCAAACAATGTGTTTTGTTTGCTATATGGAATGCGACATTTTTTTTAAAAAATAAATTTTCAAAATGCAAACAACTTATAAAAAACATCCCATAATGTAAATAAGTTATCATTTATTAAGAATATGTTAACTCAATTTTGACAAAAATGTCAGACAGAACCTTATAATTCTAAGGTGACAAATTGTCTATATCTTCTTTGCACAGCATTTTTTTTTATTCATACATAGAATGTCATGCTCCTAATGACGTCACATAACGACAAGTCACTGATACTGACATCATAAAAATGATAATACAATAAGTTGTTTTGGAGATATTTAGTAATGGACATTTCCAATACTTATGGACAGTTCTTCAAAGAATGTCCACAAGAGGGAAGTAGAGACCAATCACACAACAAGGCCATGGCAGAAAATCTCTAGCAAGCACAGTTTTATCCATCCTTCGCTCTCACTTTTGTGGCTTCAAACCTGTCTCACATTCCCTTTGGAACATGAAAGATTTTTTAAAAGACAGCCTGGTCATGTTTCACATTTATTGCTTTTTTCCACTATTCTAAGAAAGTAAACTGAGTGAATATTTTAGGTCTTAACGTTCTGCTTATATCCTTTATGATTCCTTAACAAAAACTACAAGAAGGTTAAAAAAAACCTAAGGGTTAACCAATTATAGCATCATGAGTTTTAAATTTTTAAAAACACCTCTGCAGATCACAAAAATCTCTTTAACAGTTAAAATTTCTATAACAGGACAACTTTAATAATTGGTTATAAAACTACATGTACAGCAGTGCTAGTGGTTAAAATATAAACTAGTAACTGATATATGAAAGCTATGTTTTTATACCATGCGTATGTGGTTCCCCTCTATAATGATGACAACGTAATAACAAACAGAAAGAGTCTGCATGCACCAAAATAACCAGAGTACATGACCACAATCATAAGTGAGACATAAAAGCCACTCTCAGTTCTAGTCAATCTCTCTCTATGATGTAGGATTTAATGTGCATTCATACACACAAAACAACGTGAATTAACGCTCATATGTTTGTGAAATAGCTTCACAAAGTCCCAGTGTCGACAACTGCTGCAGAATAACACCACTGCACTGCAATCCCTGCCACATGGAGAATTTTGTTCAAGTTAATAAAACCTAATAAAGTAAAAGCAGTAGGTGTGGTAAAGTGTTCATCATTTGTTTCTGCCATTTTAAAAGTGATTTCAGTATGTACATTGTAAACAGCTATAATGACTTTTGATGAATTAAGTACAGACACGACAGGCCTTTTATACTGTAATGAGTTAAAAATAGAGTTGGGTATGGTTTGGGGTTATTTCGATATCAGTGCTAAATCGATACTTTTAAAATGCTACCGGTGTCAAAACGGTGCCAGAACCGATACTTTTGAGCCACAACATTATTTGACAAAAGAAATATTTTTAGCATTATAATTAAACAACATAATTATAACAAGTTTACAGTAACCATCAATTCATATTTTAAATATTTGAAATGCATTAATATACATGTTTTGATTGTTTGTTTGTTAGCATGAATGTAAGATTTGCATTAGGCAATTAACATTACATTAGCTTACTACTAACCTGTGGAAAAGCAGTCATCAAAATCAGACACCTTTTTTCCAGGGTTGGGGCTTGCAACTACATTTACATGAACATCAATAATCTAATTATTAGCCTTAATCTGAATGAGACAATCATATGATTAAGGTGTTTACATGAGTTGCTTTTTTAATAGTTAAATTCCTGTTACATGTTATAGCACATAGATTGATAAACATCATTGCATCACCGCACTATCCACGTTTCCTCCGCAGTTTCATGTCATTTTAATTTTTTATTTCATGTTTACATGGTCAACTTTTAACCAAAGTATTGACTTAATCATATTATATACAGAGTATTGGTGTCCATATAGGCCTAAATTTAGTCAGTAAAAGTGCCAGATGAGGTTGCAAGCTGTCAAAGACGTGCAATCCTCTGTTTTTAAGTTGATTCCCTGCGCCCTCAATTGTTCCATTAAGTTTGACACGTTTCCCCTTTACATGCAACTTTTGTAAAGCATCTGCTTCACGTTGCTGTGTCAGAATCTTATAAATAAAATATAGCCACACATTAGATCACTTAGTTTAAGCAAATAAGATGAATGCGATGTGTGCGGTGTTGATAAAGGGAGTCGCTCACTGGATGTGCTATACTACGCACTTTGCCTTTTAAATCTAAGCAACAAGAACAAACGCCTGACATCGTTGATGAAAGTTGTTTAGAGTGAAATGTTTGAAAATGGTGTGACACAACGCTATTTATGTACCTATGTGTGCCTTTCATGCACCCCTTGATGTTTATTACGCGTGGTTCAGCACCAGTGGCACCGAAATTCATATGCTGATTCGCTCTGGTGGATAATGGTTACAAAGGTACCCGGTACCCAACCCTAGTTAAAAATAAATGTAGATTGTCTAAAAACAAGGAGTTTCTTTATACGGTCGTGGGATTGGCCAAGAAAATAATAAAAACAAAGCATTCATGTAAAACTCTTCCACCTAATATGACTGTAAACAATAATAACTGTACATTTTATTCGTGTATCATTTTGTATTAACTAGTATTCTGTAAAATTATATTACTGATATTTATGTATGTCTTAATTCATTTTTAAATGATTTAAATCATAAACTTAAAGGGATAAAAGAGATAAATCACCCAAAAAAGAAAATTCTGTCATAATTTATTTACTCTTTACTTAACCTGTAAACCTTCTTTTTAAACTTGAAAGAAGGTATTTTGAAAAAAGCCTGTCTGCAGGGATTGATTTCAATACCATTTTATTCCCTAATATTGAAGTCGATGGGTCAAAGCAAGCAGCTTTCTCCATACTATATCTTCTTTAGTGTTCAACAGAAGAACACTAAAGTCTGAAACACTTAGAAATGTAAAACTTCAAGAGGAAGAGTAAATTAAGTAACATTCTTTTTTTTGGGTAAACTGTCCCTTTAAGTTTGATGAAAAACAGAAAGACTTTAAAGCTTTTCTAACAACAAATAAATAAATAATATTTTAAAGTTCGGAAGCTAGAAGCTACCCAAACTTAGAGCATATGAAAAGCTGAAAACACTGGATCATAAGCTGCCCGAATGTAAATTTAAACAGTGGTAAACTTTTTGAAGAAAGTGTGAAAGCTTTAACCATTGACTTCCATAATATCCGTTTTGTTTTACTATGGAAGTCAATGGTTACAGGCTTCAAGCTTTCTTCAAAATATCATGTTCAACAGAAGAAACTCGTAAAGTTTGGAACCACTTGAAGGTGCATAAATAGCGGAGAACATTTTCATTTTTGAGTGAATCATCAGTTTAATAACAGCACTAAGCCATTTTGCAATTGGCTTTATTGTGAATACATGTGCAGTCCTATATGTTCATATAAAGTGAACAATGTGCACTGTGTGTGTGTCCATGAAGCACTAGAATGACTCTTTGAACATCCTGCGATGAATGAGAAATGATTCATTGGATTTACTACTTTAAAGTAAGTGGTTGTAAACTATTTATACAAGCAGAATTTAAACAAACAAAATACGTTGAACATTATTACTAAATTTAATGTGTTTTAGTACATTCAGCCTACAAAAATTATTATTTGCAACCACTTAACTTAAAAAACATGTTGTAATAGATCATTTTATTCAGTGTGGCCAGAGCAGTGGTGACGGTTTTGTCAGTGTTCTCACCTGTCTCCAGCACCTCTGTCTCCACCTCCTGCTCCTCAGCTACTCCCTGCATCAGGTATGTCTCATCATCGTACACCAGCACCTGAGCAGCAAAGCCTTGCTCCATCCGCGCGCTGGGCACTGGCTCCACAATCACTGCTGGATACTCCACATCGCCCTCCACCTCTCCCTCCATTTCACCCTCCACCTCATACACGCCACCCTCCTCCTAGATGCAGAACAGAGGTTTCATCAACAAGGAGAGAAATCTGACAACAAAAAATAAACTATGAAAACACCAAATGCTACGTTTAAGTAAACAGTTCAAGAGAATCTCATTATGCAAAGCTTTAGTGGATGATTCACATTAGGAACAACAACTTTTGGCATAACTATATCACACACCATGTCCTAACTACATGCGACACAACAGAAACATTTAAATACTTTTTAAATACTTTTACTTAAATACTATTTTACCCATTTTACACGATGTAAGATAAGTCTTTAGTGTCTCCAAAATGCGTCTGTAAAGTCTCAGCACAAAACACCCATTCAATTATTTATTATACAATGCAGAGTATGTACATTTCGGACTCTGAGCAAAATGTAGCTTTTTTGTAGCCTGTGCCTTTAAATGCAAATTAGCTGGTTCACTCCGCCCACCGTTCCCACAAGCATGTCTGAATAGTCTAGATAGGTTATGCGGCCAGCCGGAAGTGCGATATGCATAATATAGCAGCAGTTTTTTTTAAACTGTATAACTTTAATTAATATTTTTACAGTACTGTGGGTTTAGGGTTGGGTGGGAGTAGGATTTAAAAAACACAATTTATTTGGTAATTTAATAGATAACAAATAATATTCGGTACAGCATTATTTTTACGTTACTGTGACGGTTGGGTTTAGGGTTGGGGTAGACATTAATAAATTACAATAAATGGGAAATTTAATAAATTACAGAAATAACTCTCGTTAACTTTTGGCTCTAGCAACAACCATGGCATGTCTGCTTTGACTGCCGTTTATCTGACATACCTGTGTAGGTGACAGAAATGGATGACAGATGAAACAGAAATCCAGTTAAAGTAATAGTTTAATTGATGGAAGTTTAAAGTAATTAAATTAAGGTTTAATTGATGTATTTGTGGTGGAGATTATTCAAGCCTTTCTTCAATGATGAGTAACACAAGGTTTACAGTAGACACACACAGCTGATGCTATGTGGTTGCGGTGAATTAAGCGTTTATGAATTATGTAGCGATTTTACTGGTTTTACTTTATTACAAAAACACTTTGTTTTAAAAATGTTTTAAACCTGTAAAACTCATATTAGAGGTGCAGCATTATTGGAACAATGAGATTTATGGTGTACTCACACTAGGCTATCTGAACTGTGTCCAGGCACGTTTGGCTCCCATTTCTTGGTTCATTTGATAAGTGTGAGTGCTTATTCTAAAAGGTAATGATTCGCAATGAGGAAGGCATTGTTGCTGAAACGTTTAACTCAAGATCTGCTTTTAAAAATACTCCATTTAAATTTAAAATGCAACACTATAAAGAAGTTTGTCACAATATTTGGTTTACACTAGGCCTGTCACAATATTTATTTTTTGTTGCATGATATATTGCACCAAAATATATTGTGATAAGCGTATACATGTTATATATTACGTAAATATATTGTGATATATTGTGAATATTATTGTCATTTTATCCTACTTATTTTATAATGCCAGAATGACAAAATAGTTTCACAATGCAAGTACAGTTTTCCAAAGAACACATAATATTTTATTTTTAAGAATATTTAATGTAATTATAGTCATTTTAACAATTTAGTAGTTAAGCACTGGAATCAGAATGTGAAAACACATAACCTAAACAAATAATTATAAATGTTAACAAAAGGTGCAATGTAAAAAGTAACCGAGGCTGCGATATCTGCTACCAGATCTATTTTCAGTTGTTAGGCACCCACTTAAAAAAAAAATACTATATTAATTTATAGTAAACACTATGGTGTGTTTAACCATATTGACACTGACACCTCCAATGGAGATAGAGATATTGCACAATCAGCTAAAATGTTGCAAGAATTGGTTATGTATGGGCGAGATATATATATATATATATATATATATATATATATATATATATATAGCCCCACCAAAAATGATTGAGGTCATGTCCATGTGTTGTGCTATAAGTCAATCTATTAATTATTGTGACAGGCCAAGTCCACAATGACTTCAGTGGTTGTTCACCCAAAAACTAAACCTATCTGTTAATTCCCTCACCCTTAGGCCATCCAAGATACAATTATTTTCTTTTTTTTCTTTAGTAAAACTTAATTATTCTTCACCATAATTACTTTATGATTATGAATGTACTTTTCACTTTATTTAAATGTCTACCTCATGTTACTTACATCCAGTATTGCTCAATGAGTTTTTTATTTGTATCCACATTCCATAGACACAAGAGCTTTTTTGTTTCACATTCAAAATATGTTTTGAATTTGTACTAGGTGTGCTTTCCAAGAGCTGATATTGGCAACTGCTGCTCTGCCATTTCTGCTTGAAGGCTGTCTACCTTCTCTACATTTGCTTTACTATTGTGTTTCAGGGGTCACAGTGACTTGACCTCGCCTTCACCCTGACCCAACCTAGGCGGAGGAAACATCTTGTAAGCTGTAGATTAGAGACAAACGGATAAGTTTGTTTGCGCTTTACTGATTAGCATAAACATCCAATGTTGACATAGGAAGATATACATTGTCCTGCCTATATAACTAAAGGATCTTCGCTAGGAACTCTCTGGCGTTTCAGAGTATGCTGCCACGGCCTTGGACTTTCAATATTTTCTAAAAGCTTATTATACTCTGATCTCAGGGTATTCAGAATCGCAGATTTGTTACTTCTTTGACACCTACAGTTTTACAGCATATCTGTTTCATGCTATTATTATTTTATTTATTCTATATATAGAGAGGCAAAACACCTGCGACCCACCGATAATTAAATATACAACCTATTTTGGATTACCGGACGGGCAGATTAACGGCAGCACCCACAGATATAACTGACTGTGTATAACAGGCCTTTATGCGTACCCCAATATGCAATGTCATGAAAGTGACTCTATAAGGTAACATAAACTGCACACACTTAACTATTTAATGTGTAAAGACGCGTGTCTCAAAGCGCAAAGCATAACTTATCTTTTGAATGTCCATGGTCATCGATAAGGTCTATCGATTAAAAAAAGGTTATCGACAAACTTAGAGCATCGAGTAATTGTTAACATCCCTAGTCAGTAGTTTAAAGATGCAAGACTAGCAGCAACCTAATGTAAAGCGACAAATATGCTAAAGGCAAGTTTGTATCTTACCGGTAAATGGTCATCGACTGCAGTGACATACTCCACCACTGCTCCTCCACTGTCTACAAGCACCACAGAAGTCATGACTCATACCCCACACTCTGCTGACCTCCTGTGGCAAACTCCAGGACTGCATAACAACAGACAAGAAATAAGAGAAAGAAAACATGTTAAGCTTTCATAAACAAAAGTAACCTGCATGCTTGTTTTATCAGTCTGGTTCAACAGGAAACTCGCTCTTTGCTAAGGAACAGAACACCAAAACAGGAAGCCTGCCAATGAAACATTGACGCCATAGCAACAGCTAACACGTTTTGGGCTGAAGAGCTATAATGAAACTCATTGCAGCTGAAACTGAGTAATGTTCTTCACAATAAAACCTTCAATAAAAGAAAGAAAGAGAGAGAAACAAGAAGCGTCAGTGGGACAGTCTGGCAGCTGAATTATTGAGTGACTTTGCCAACACACTCCAGATGGCTAAAGTGACAGAGCACCGCAATAGTGACAACATATGCTCAAACCATTCAGGTCCGAAGGAATGCTTCAATTAAAACCTAAATCGCCATTCCAAGCCTGTATGCCTTTTTTTTATATGGAAAAACAAAACTGAGGTTTAACAGTATGTTCTCAACATTTGTTTATCTAACAAAAACTAAAGGAGATAACTGTGCAGCATAAAAAGTATGTCACATGACTACAGAATAATACAATTACAATAACTGAGCAGGTTCCTTTTCAGAAAGTGAAAATATGAATAGTGACCAATACTTAAATATCAGATTAAAAAAAATAGTGGCATCAAGAAAACAGAAGACTGCACGTAAAATCTTGAGAAATACAAAAAAAGGAAACAATAACATCTCACAAGATAGCAAATAGATTTTGTTTTTGACTACAAAAATACTTTGCTGTATGTAAGTCTTTGAATTTTCTAAAGCTTTAAAATACCATAATATGTTTGCAGATATTTAGGAAACATTCTTGTTTATCTGAAACAATGCTAAACTCATATATTCTGCTTTGGAAATGTGAGTTATGTGCCAGGTCGTGTCTTTGGTCTAGTAATTTAACCAATCTAATGCCAGTTTAGCCAGTTATATTTCAGCACCCTGGGTTACCTTTGTGGAAAACAACATATTTCACTCATTGAGTCAGAAAGGCTCTCAAAGTACGCATCCACGACCGAAATGCGACCTCCAGTGGAGAGTAACAGCCTATGAAACTAGAAGCGGATTTAGAGTTCCACATGAGTGGGGTTATCAATTAACAAATAATATAAATATTACAAACGTAAACATTAGGTGAGCAGGTTACATTGTAACCCCGTGTACTAACACGCTATGTGTGGAGATTTGCAGTTATAAGCAATTTGCCTGTTTGCACCAGACGAAACACGACAGAAATTTAAAAACATCTGACATTCAGAAGCGCAGAATAGTGCACTTACTGCACTCCAACAAAATGCTTTATAATCTAATTAATACATAAACCTATTTAAAATTATTACATTTACATGCTGAGCCACTAATATGTGTTGGCTTGCACTAAAGTTCCATTTCATATGAAAATGCTGCTGCTTTCAGTGGTATGGCAATAAATGTCATGTAAAATGGCATTCAAACTCACATTATTATCATTTAACACTGAACAAAGCGCATGAGGTTTACCTGAGGTGAACATTCTCATAGTTTTCTGTTGTCCACCTGCGAGAATAGATGCCGTTCCTAATATATCAATTCGAGGTGTTGGTTAGGACAAAAACTCCTTTTACTATGGAAATATTCCTTATATCATGTGCTGTTGCTTTTATTTAGAACACGACTTAAATCAGTCTTAAATCAGCCTTTAGGCTCGACAGTCCGGCCCATTATTGATGTCGTAAATCTGGCAACCTGATCTTGCACTCCTGGTTCTAAACAAACGCAATACCTAATTTAACCACTGGATGTCAAAATTACATACTGCATCTTCAGGTGCAAACAAAGTAATTCCCTTTCATCACTTCTCCAAAATCTTTAGTTTGTTTGTCTTTAATGCCACGCCAACATAATTTCAAGGAAGGAAAAGTTATAATTTAGCCAAATTATAAGTTGCAAAAAAAATTTTTTTTTTTGCTAAAATCTCTAAAACTTTATGTCTCAACTGTTTAACATAAGTATAAATATTTGTATATGTATTTGGCTTAAACTCTTCAAAAGAGTTACCCGAATTTAAAAAAAAAAAAAGTTCTCACATAATTAAAACCAGAACAATCTAATGAAACAAGTTTAATGGACAAAGGGTTTTGCCAAAAAAAAAACATGTTAAAGGATCTTCTTCTTGTATTAAATCAGTAACGATTTTTCTAAATTCTCATTCATGTTCATCAAATAATAGCATGTGCATTAGAAATTATGCTGCATGGTTCATCTTTTTTGGGCATCAAACTCGTTCTACTAAATGTACATGAGGACTGAGTGAATAAAAGAGTTCTATGAGGAAAAAAAAACATTACATACTATGTCTTCATGGCATCAAGGATGTTTGTTTTTCCTCAATTAATCGCAAAGAGTAAATAGAGGACGTCAAAGAGACAGACAATGAAGATTGTTAAAGTTCCTTGGTAAATTCCCAGCCAGATTGCCAAAGCAACACAGTCACAAGGTCTGAGCAGGGACGAAGAGGGGTGTGGCAAATAAACGCGACACACACACACACACACACACACACATACACACACACACACACACACACACTCCCTCACAGATGCATCTGGATCATGTTATGCGCAAATCACACAAAATGACACGATTCTTTCAACTTCCCCATTAGAGCTTTGCCCAAAACTGCTGTTCTAGAACAATTTGTGTCCTTAAATATAAAGAAAGCATCTAAAATTTCTGCATAAGCTACAATAACATGTCATTCTACACTTTGTGGCTGAATAGCTCGCTGAGTGTACAGTTACTTAAAAGTATATGTTTCAATTCAACACTTGCTAAGTTATTAGACAGCATCACAAGGAAGTTCAAGCAGTAACTCATCTGTTTCCAACCTATTGTTCCTGGTGTAGCACAGGAATTCCTTGTCCGTTCGGAGATGTATTCCAACTTCGCAGGAAACAATCCAAGCCTACTACAGTCCACTTTAGCCATGACTCCTTGTCCTTGAGAAATCTTCACATTCCAACAAACTGACTCCACGTACGACAGGCACTTTCCCCCGCACAGCAGCATCAGAGAAAGACTGATTAAGGAGCGAATGAGAAAAGCGCACGTAGACTGCACGCCAGAGCTGTTGCACACTATTGCTTTCATTTCCTGTTAAGTCGTCCACACCTGTTTCACTACGTCTTCCTTCTTCAGTGGCTCTGTATCTTCCCCTTCTCTATCTTTCTATCATGCTCACGTCTCCAGGGTGAGGCAGTGTTTGAAAGTTGGACTCAGCATTTTGTGAGGCAGGATCACATGGTCAGAGCTTTCCGAACAGGCGTCACATGACCAGGGCACAACGCTGCTTTTGTGTCCTCAACAGACTCTCCAGTGATGCAACGTCCCACCTTTAGAAACACACACACGCAGCAGCAGCGGACGCCAAAATCAAGCCTCCACCCAACAGTCCTCCAGATGCAACAAATTATTCCACAATGAGAATCTACTGACCTCAGCTTTCGGCCAAAACATGTCACCTAACTGACAAAAAGCCACTTCTGTTTTTACTAGATTCAGTTCTTCTGTAGTCTTTAGAAGCAAAGGTATATTTCACAAACAACATCACTTACAGATCCTAGTTTCTTTTCTGTGGTCTAGAGGTATTATAAAGTTGATGACGACAACACTGTCATATCAAACTGTGAGATATGTGAACTTGCTGTATTTGAGGTGCTCATTGTTTTTATAATGTTTTTAATTTTAAAAGTGTAAAATTGATGTTATTACTTGATTCTTCAAGCTACCAAACAGAAGTGCTCTGTTTATTAACAGTTGTTGATTTTTAAAATAAGCTGAATTAAAAATTAAAAATGATCTGTTTCTTCACTCTTCTTTATTATTTTTTATGTGTTATAGAAGTATCAGATTGGGTTTCTGTATCAGTAGATACTCGAAATCAAATGACTCTAAGCAAAAAAAAAAATCTGAGATCGGAACATCCCTAGTTTCAGCATCAATAACGCAATGTCTGCATTCGCAATAATTAGTTTAGTCAGCAATGAAGACATGACTTATTACTACATTTAATTATTCACTCACTGTACCTGAATATCTGACTACTGTTTGCCTCTCCAGAAAACCATAACGCACTGCTTTTTACGTTTTTTTTTTTTTTTGCTCCATCTTATTAATTTATGCTTGCAATTTGTTTGATTCACTCCGTTACAAAATGATCCGAATCAATCTAAATGAATGATTTCAGTCCAAATAGAGCTATTCGACTAATCTGCTGAAATCGCAATATATATCAGAGAAGAATAAAATAACGATGTCAGATTTTTCGTGCATAATCATAATAATAAAGAATATCGTGCAGCCCTAGTTTATCAGAACAAAAGAAACCTCATACTGGTTTGGAAAAAGGATAAGAAAAAGATGACAATTTTTATTTTTGGGTGAACTGTCCGTTTAAGTCATTTGAGATCAAACAGATCAGATCAAAGCCATATTAAGGAAAAGCGCTCTAAGTTATTACACATTGCGATTTAATCCATCACTTTTGTCTGCTTTCAACCACTTGATTTCTTTGAGGGGAGGGTCTTTGGGTGTGTGTATGTAGGGTCCTTTTCTGATCTGTTATAAAATGAGCTCACGGTTTATAAATATTACAATGAAAAGACTAGAGACGGAACAGAAAACAGAGAAAGCAGCAGCTTTATTTTCAATTCCAATAGCTACAGTTAAATTCACAAATTGCTGTGAGTTTGTGTAATCAGGAGGACTAGTGACAGAACATTGTACTTGGAATATCAGATAATAAAATAAAATATAGTCCAGCTAATGTGTTTCAACACATCCCAAAATGTTGCAAATTAGTTCAGTAAAATAGGTGGTCTTCAGTGACTATTTGAACAAATGGGTTTACTATCCAACAGACAAGACCAAAACATTTTAGAGCTTGCTTACAATTGTACTCATTTAACATTGTCTAATTGTGATCAGTGACAAAATGTATTCTTAATATTAGGAGGAAAGAAATATTACAAGTCATAAAGCCTTGTGACTAACGCACTGATATTATTTAACTAAAAGTTCAACATTGCAATATGCTCTTAAGGAAAATAGTTATTAAAGATATTTATTTGTTTGATATTACAAAAAACAAAGACCAGTATTACATAGATTAAACTAATATATTAAAACATTAGTAATTTTTCATTATCACTCATGCATAATAATGCAAACTGTTACTCCACTCTTGCTCTAAATTTGTAGTTTTACAAAAGAACGTGGTTTCTTTTTTTAATAATATGACTCAGTCACTAAAAGATCAGATGGAAAACAGAGAAATCTGTGCATGAGTCAGCGGAGGTCAAATATTTGGGCCAACGACAGAGCAAATGTTGACAGACCTTGTACAAAATTGGTTCACCAAGCAGACAAATTTTCCAACATTCAAATTCTGCATGCCAAATGACAGGTTATGTTCAGGCAATGGTCACAAATCAAGCTTTAAATAACCAAAGCAGCACAAAGAATGCTTTCTGTATCTGATAAGAGATGTGCGCATTAACAAACTTTAATAAATCATTGACTTCATGCCAAGGTACAGTTTTCCCTACCAACTGAAGCTGATCTTTTATGCTTATATTATATATTACACCAGATCTAAGCTACAGAATAATAAATGATAATAAAACTAAAATAAAGCAACTCATTGCATCACACCACAGATGGAATAGAAATCTGGTTAGTCAGTATTGACTAAGAACTTAATGTGCCGCTAATCTTATATTTTTTAGGGTTTAGCATTTCGTTTTGAATCTATCCTAATCCTATAATATGTTTACATGCAGCCATGGTCAAAAAACAAAACATGTTTTTGTTGCAATAGACATATTTCTCATCACTCTTATTTCATGTGACTTACAAACTGTGCTGTAAACAAAATGTCCACGTCTAAATTTCAGCTCCGATGGCGTCCTAAATCCTCATTGATTTTACCATACCAATTGAAACAGAGTCCAATGATCTAGAACTAATTTATCAACCCAAACCCCCAATGTCAGCACAAAATGAGTAGGATGTGTCACAGTGGTGTTTTTAAAAATAAGAACCAATCTACTTATGTTGAGCTTATGAACATAATGGCCAATCAGATGTGTTTCGATTAGTCACTGCAAAAAGCAGAGTTGTGCTGAGTGCACATGCTCAGTTACATCAAATTGAGCCCAACAATTCTCTCCTTAATCAACAAAGTGCACATCCATTACTAAAGGAGATTCAAGTGCTGTTTACACTAGTGAGTTTTCATTTTGGAATATATAGGCCTACATTTTGTTACGGTTATGCCTTGTATTGATACATACTACTCCAAAACTTGAGTTTTGAAAATGCCAAGGACCTAGTTTTAGCCTCAAAACTGATGTCCCATTTCAGTAGACAGTATTGAACACAAACTTTGTAAAACAAAGGCACAGCTAATCACAATCACATCTTACTGGTCTTCTGGACTATTGCATATTGTTTCGTGATTCATCAAGCCTCTCAAATATGACTATTTTCCAAACAGTGTATGTAAAAAAAAAGAATGACGTCAAGAATAGGCATAGGACAATAACCAATTTCAAGATTTACCACGGTTTGGAAAAGTCACAGTTTTAAAACTGCTAATGTTATACTATTCCTGCGGTAAATGTATTCTTTTAATGTGTTGTCAATGACTATTTTATTTATTTATTTTTTTTTTAGGGCAATAAATATGTCCAGCAGCAAAGGATCAAAAGCTTCTAGTCAGCCCACAATTCAGAAAACATTTGAAAAACTAATCGCTAATGCACATACATCCAAGCATGCTATGGACCTGAACAGTGCAGTATTGTGTTCAATGGGAGCAAAGTGTTTGTTTTTACCGAGACATTTAAAAATACCTAGAGTAGCAATCAAATCACAATATCATGAACCTTTAAAACTGATATTTTTATCCAAGATTACCATACCGTCAGAATCGTACTGGTCCATGCCTAGTCAAGAATAATGCAAAACATACAGTTGCCCAAGAATTATTTTAAAACTAAAATGCACTAATGTAAACATAGCCTCATTTTACAACTTCAGTGATCATAATGGAATTTTCTGTGCCCTATAATACAAGTAATCTCAACAACAAATGATTTATTTTGATATGATGGCAAAACCGCAAACTAGACTGTTGTTACATGTCAAAAAAAACCTCTTCAATAAACAACTGAACGAAACAGAACGAGTACAAAAAGACTTACGTAATTAAATATTTCTCAGATTACAATAAAATCAATAATTAAGAAGTGGAATGAGGTTGGCACAGCTGTAAAACTATCTGTTCATGCCAATGCAGGGTTCAACGCTAAGGATTTTTTCTACTGGTCTGATCGGGCACCAAAAAAAGGGAAGTTAATAGCTATTTTTAGCCACATATTTAAATTAAAGTGTTAAAAATAAAGTCTGTACATCTAGAATTTTAATACTTAAAAAAAATGTAAATAAAAGTGTTATGCAAGCAAAAAGAGCAGTATGGAAAATGTGGAGGTATTTTATTGCGGTTTGAAATTATTTAACAAAAGGTGGCTGACTTGTCAAACTGACGGAAAACTGTGCAAAACATCACTTCATTTTTATTTTGTCATGTTGTTCCCACGTAAATGTCTACTTCCAAGATGTTAGAAACAGACATTTTCTTTTAGCCTTATAATTTGATGTTGCCGCCATGTTGCCGTTTCTTTGCTGTACTGATTGTTACCAGGTTACGGAAAAAAATAGCATGCTCAATCAGATAAGAGGAACCAGAAACTTTTCTACATCACAGAAAAGGTAGTGTTTAAAGACTTAAAAGCACAAACTTAAAATGCACGCAATTGACAAATAGTCAGACAAATTAAATGTAAGTGACAAGGCAGCACTGTCCCAATCGGGCCAGTAATGATCCGGTCTAATGTCCCAAGTGTCTCTCACGCTGGCCCTGGGCCACCGGGCAGTCCTTATTGTTGAGCCCTGCAATGATAACTCAGAGGGGGCAAAGGCTTTGTATGCAATAATTCCAGTTCCAAAGAGCACTGAACCACACCCCATTTATTAATCTCAGCACATCTAGAAAAGCAGGGAGACTCATTTTATTAATCCAGCCTTCATTTTAAACTCAACACAAAATCCAAATGTTTACATTCATAACACTAGTGGAAGACTTTAACATTCAAAGCTGCTTTTACTACAAGATAATTTGGCAACTGATATACCCATTTGCATTT